CAAGAGGCCTAAATCTTACTTTGTTATGACTTTCTTTGTGGCAGGGTCTATACTTGGGCTGTGGAAAAATCCTGCCATTGGTGTGATTCTGGGTGGGACTGCCTGGTCTTAACAGGGTGAGGCAACAGTCTTTCTCCGGCTCATTTGAGAGATTTCATTGCCAGCAAGAGACCAAGTGGGGCCTTTCCAGGCTAGCCATTTGGGGAACAGGGCTGATCAGGATACAAAGAATTTGTTGAAGTTGAAGAGCGATGTACTATTTGGTATGCTCCTCCCTCCCAAGGGCCCCTTTGAACCCAATCAGCTGTCCATTAAGCGCTTCCCCTGATTGTCTGCGGAGGGTCAGGGGTAGTGAAATTTTTTTTATGTCGCTCCTCTCTCCATCTGTTGATTCCATGCTGTTTTCTCCCTTCCCCCTCCTCTCTTTCTCTCATTCTCTCCCCACCACTTTGTCCCTCAAATGCCCCCTCAGAATCTGTAGCTCCTGGAGGCTGCTATCTCCCAGCTAAACAATCAGAATGCATGCCCTACTGCTCAGCCAGGAAGGTGTGCAACAGCTCTTAAAGGGGAGCGGTGGATCATTCTAAGTAGAGACAGTGGCAGACAAAGTCTCCCCCTCAATTCAAACCATGCCCTCCACGATCCATAAGCCATATCTATATGACAGTATGGACAGGGCTGAAAACACCAAATGGGGTTTCTTTTCATCTTGGTTTCCATAATTTGCCCAAAGTGTAGTGGCTGAAATCCTGTTCTGTAAGCTATGCCATGTAAGGTTGATGATGTCATCAGCACACAGAACTGGTCACTGAAATATAAACACAAGCTTCCTTTTGAGGCCTTATTAAACATTCTCACTTCAGAAAGAGGAAGGACTCTTTGCTGGAGTTAAAACATTTGTAAGATCAGGAAATAGGATTTTCTTTGAACATCTGTTTCCTGCCCTCAAGCCACCCAGTGAGAAATCCATGTGGCTTCACAGTTGCAAAATTACAATCCTTATCGGTGGCATCAGTATCCACTGATTCATTTAACTAAAGTCTGAAACTATTAAAACTATTGAAAGAAAAATCTTAGAAATATATATTTCTACGAGAACGGACCACTAGAGAGAGCCAGAGTCCCAAGTTATGCATAGTGTTGCTCGCTATTAAAATAGTGTTTGCTATAATTCACTTTTTCAGCATTTGTGAGGGGCTTGGATCCAATTCCCCATGGATAAGGGGGTCCTACTGTATATTCTCACCATGGAGTGAGCAAGGATCTTGGACAAAGGAACCAGGGGTGGGCTTATAGGGTGACCAGTGCGAACCATTCACGCCAGTTTTAGAAGGAGGGATATCCTCAGCTCTGGTCACCATGTCTTCTCGACAGAAACACAGCAAGCTACCTCAGAGGGCGGCCATGTCCTCTCGACAGAAACACAGCAAGCTACCTCAGAGGGCGGCCATGTCCTCTCGACAGAAACACAGCAAGCTACCTCAGAGGGCGTTGGACACCCGTCGGCCCCCTTCCTGTTTCCGTCTCCCCCACTGGGCAAGAGGCCTTAGGTTTCCCACCCGTGCTTTTCGGTCGGTCACATGGCTTGATCCTGGAGCTGGCTTCCCCACCACCACCACTTCTAGACAGTCTGGGGAAACTCACCTGGGAATAGGCGCAGCCGTCCCCGGTCACCTGGATGTCGTAGTCCCCGGGCACTTTGGGCAGCGCCTGGCACTGAAGGAGGAGGCGGTTGGTGCTGTCCACCTGGAATTGCTTCAAGACGTTCTCTCCAGAAGCGAGGGCTACTCCGGTGCCGGTGCTATCCTTGGAGAAGGTCAAGGCTCCGTACAGGGCGAGGGCCTGGAGGGCAACCACTGTATCCTGCAACCGAAAGCAAAGGGAGGGAGACTTTCCTAGAGATGTGGGGCTGAAAGACTAGATCCCAGTCACCAAAGAGGGAATATTAGGGCTCCTGCAATTGTAATTCTCGAAGGCTTTCACGGCCAGGATCTAATGGTTGTTGTAGGTTTTTGAGCTGTTTGGCTGCGTTTCTTGATCCAGAACACGGCCAAACAGCCTGAAAAACAGCTCCTGTAATTCTTCACTCCAGAGCCCCCCCAGTAGCTGTAGGAACTGTGACTGGAAAAAGTTACTACTTTGCTTAGCTCTGCCGTTCTACTGTTCGGCCACGGAAGGGTCTCAGTGAGGATCTGAAACACACATAATGAGAGAGCCAAGAAAGCTGAACTTCAGCTGTGTTTCTATGAGAGTCTGACCTGAAAGTGGACATTATAAAGCCCAAGGAAGCTGATGTCAATGAAGACTGGCCAGCAACTTGTAGCTGAACATGCCCTAAAACAAGCTGGACATGAAATTCTATTTCAAAATGCTGAAGTACTG